ACATTTTTTATGCTAATGGTGATTTGCATTTTGGTCATTATCTTTTAAATTTGAAACATTCTAGTGATGAAAACATCTATAACATAACTACCAAAAGGATCAAGTCAAATGATTTGAATCCAACCTACCTATAGCATTGTCGTCTTGGCCATATAAATGAGAAATGCATTTCCAAACTCCATCAAGATGGACTTCTCAACTCATTTGATTTTGAATCTTATGACACTTGTGAATCTTGTTTATTAAGAAAGATGATGAAAGCACCTTTTACTGGGCATGGTAAGAGAGCAAATGACTTATTGGGACTCATACATATAGATGTATGTGGACCAATGAGTACAACTGCCTGAGAGGGTTGTCTGTGCTTTATTACCTTTATTCATGACTACAGTAGATATGGATACATCTATCTAATTAAACATAAATCTGAACCTTTTGAAATGTTTAAAATATTCCAAAATGAAGTACAAAACTAATTAGGTAAGGCTATTAAAACTCTTCAATCTGATCGAGGAGGTGAATATTTAAGCCAATAGTTCATTGATCATCTCAGGAGTTGTGAGATAGTCTCACAATTAACTCCTTCAGTAAAACCAAAATGGAATGGTGTTTCTGATTAGAGAAATCAGACATTATTAGATATAGTTCAATCCATGATGAGTCAAGTAGATCTTCCACCATCCTTTTAAGGCCATGTGATAGAATACATTTATTACCCACTTTTATTAATCAATTAGGACCCTTTTATTAATAATTTATCACCTTCAAGTGCACACATTGCATTAGATTTGAAATTTTGCCTAAGTTTTTAGGTTCTGTGCACTAGGGGTATTTTGGTCCAAAAATTAAAATTTTGAGAAAATGTACAAGAAAAATTGACAAAGTGAATTTTATGTCTATTTGATGAGTGGTGAAATTATATTTTTAAAATTCATTTTAGTTTGGGAGTAATTAAATAAAAAAAGTCAAAACTTTCTTAAGTATCTTAGTTTGACCTAGTTTTCGGTTTGCCTTTGTGTGAAAATTTTAATATAATTTTGTGCAATATGGAACTTGGTTAATTTAATAAATTCTCCATTATAATTATGAATTTAATTCTATACATTAATTAGATTTTATTATACCACATGCCATTTAATTGAATTATATGATTTATGTGATATAGGTGGCATGTGACTTGTGCATCAATTAGGCAAATGGAGTCAAAAGTCTGTAGGGTCAAAGGCTGATGGTTTGGACGTGTAAGGGCTTCTATTTGGTGGTTTAGATTAGCTAAAATTGTGGATGACACATGTGTTGCTCACCGCAAGTGCACGGGTCGTAGCAAGTAATATAATGAAAGTAAAGTATCGTTCCCTCGAAGATTTGTTCAAAAACAATGATCAAGCAAAAGACTAAGTAAATTTGATCAAGTTGAGCTACACAAAGTTAGGTGAAATGGTTTTTCAAATGAAACCAACACTAGAAAATAAAAAAAAAATGAGTGATTCACAAACTTCCAACACAATTTGAGACCTAGGATTAATTGTCCCCCTTGCATCTCATAACACCAAAATTACCTCCTCTCATAAATGCTTTTAATGAAAATAAGTGCTAACCTAGGGTTCTAAAAATACTTGGACAAGCTCTCTCAAGTCATGAACAAGTATTTAGTTAAATTAATTGCCCAATCTCTTGTTACAATTAATAAAACTCAATTTTAAACACCAACCCTAATGTGGCTATGCAAGGCTAGCAAGTATATCTCTATCTTACTAGCAAAACCATCCATTCAACATGCAAATATCAAGTTCTTGCACAATTTTACCCAAGTTCTACACTCAACCTAGCCCTCTCAAGCATCAATTAAGTGAACCCAACATCTAAATGGTGGCCAATCAAGTAGAAGCATTAAGGAAAGAGTAAAATAAACACATTTATATCATTAATCACAAAAAGAGAGGAGAAATATGGTGTTAATCCATACAAGGGTTCCAAATAATCCTAGAACAAAGGGTTTAGCTACTTATAATCATCCACAAGCTACAAATATACAAAATAAGTGGACCCATTTCAGATTATAAGAGAGAAAAGGGAAGAGGAATAGAAAAACCAAAGAAAATGAGCTCCAAATGTCTTCAAAGCTTCAATCTCTTGATCCCAACTCTTCCAATACCCAAACCCTAGCACAACCAAGCTCCAAAAGTGTCAAAAAGTCTGAAGAATGCATTCTGGGTCGAGCTCTCAGCTTATATGTATCCTAACCAACTAATTTTTGATAAATGAAACGCAGCGTTTTTCTAACAGCGGTGAAAGTCGCGAACGAAAGTCACGACTTTGGGATGACTTTGACAGTTTTGCACTGTTTTTACAGCTAACGAAAATCATTCAATTAGCTCTTGATTTCTTCATCCAAACGCCTTCCAAAAACATCCACAAAGCTCCAGAAATGCTTCTAATCAAAATAACATGAAATTAGGCGAAAAATATCAAATTAAAGCCAAAAACACAAGCCCAAAACAAAATGCACATTTTCCTAATTTGGGCAATAAAAACATATACAATTGAACCAAAATGAATTAGAATCTAAGGAAAATGTGATAAAATAACATGAACTTCTAGAGGTTAACACACCCCCAAACTTAGATTTTTACTCGTCCTCGAGTAAAATAAGTAATAAAACAACTAGATTGACTAATTATTCATCTACTAAGCATGCATGAAAATATCCTCACTAGTTGCTCCAAATATATGTTAAAGAGGATAGCAATGAAATATAAAGGAATGCCCAATTCACAAATTAAGATCATGCTTTCCAACAATTTAGAAATGTGTGTGTGTGAGACCAGAGAACGATTTTCCTGCAAATATCAAGTCAAAATGTAAGAACTTAATATGCATAGAACAAGCTCAATATCAAGACTTCATATGCCTAAACTCTTCTTCTCTCTCCACTAAAAGATCACTTCACATAATTCAAAATCAATGGGACTTTGTAAGCTTGTAGCGTGGCCAAAGGTTTTGGGCTTATTAAAATGAAAGGATAAATGGAATTCAAAGAACTTGAGATAAATGACAATGAGAAGCCAACCATTCCATTCTTGCTAGCAAAATACTTTCCCCCAAACTTATCCCAAATACCATTCCTTGTATTCCAAATTTATTGATATTGAAACTCTCTTTTTTTTTCATTGCAATTTTTTTTTCATGTATATTTCTATATATTTTTTTTCTTTTTTTTTTTAGGAGTACAATTAGTAGAATTTCAAACTTCATTTCCATTCCTCACACCCAAATTTACAATAACAACACCTCCTTGAACAACTAAAACAAACTTCCCTACTAGCACATAAAAATTTTTTTTATCACTTATCTCAAGAGTAAGGTAGTTCATGATTTTTCAAATTATAGAGGCTAGGGTCTAATGAAGGTTTCAAAAAGAAAATACATAAGATTTTCAATTCCAGGCTCAAAAGGGGTTCAAGTGGAAATGATGCAATAGGTGGGCTTGAAAGGCTCAAACGCAATTGAAAGAATGCCCAAATCATATTTTAATATCATGCAAAGTGATTAAAATGCCTCAAGAGATTCCAAGATAGGTTCTAGAGTTTCTCAATTGAGAGAGAAAATGCACATAAACTTGCCACATAATTTCCTAATAGAGGCATTCAAATCATTGTCTGGTTCAAAAGTGCAAAAGAAAAATTCACAAAATTATTAGAAAGCAAGCCTTAACCCTGCAAATCAAGCATGCCAAAATATTTATCACAACTTCCTATAAAACATACAGTTTAAGCAACATTCTATCATTGGATCACACATTCTATTCAACAAATAATTTCTCAATCTAGCTCAAATTTTAAAAGAGAGGAACAATAAATAGCTAAGTTTCAAAATTGAAGTTCATGTCAAATTAACCAAAATAATACCCTCACCCCCAAACTTAAATTGAACAGTGTCCTCACTGTCAAAAGAGAAAAGTAAGGGCCCTTTCTCATGCAATTATACAACCAAACAACAATAGAAAGGTTGCATGAGAGACACAAAAAGCACAACCTGTAACAAAAGAGTATTTCAACAATATCCACAGGTAACAAAACAACTATAGAACTAGAATTAAGACAAGCTAATCTATGTGATCTCTTGGGAACTTTGAGGTAGAGAGGAGGATGAATGATAAATGTGATTCATGCTAAAGAAGAACGAAAGTGGACAAAGCTCAGGTGGCTAGAATTATGGATAGTGACAAGGGAAAGAACTTGAAAGATTTAGGGGGAAAAGGTTTGTATTGAAGTGATTGAGTGAGGTTAGCATTCATTGAGGGTAAAGTTTGGGCAAGAGAAAAAAAAATAAGAGGAAAAAATTCTTTCCCCTTTTTTTTTAATTTTTAACTTTTTTTTGAAATTTTTTCCAAAGTCATGACTTTCAGATTAGGCTTAAATTCAAAGTCGCGACTTTCATCTTCTCTGGAATCTCAAAGTTGTGAGCTCAAAGTCATGACTTGTGTCAGAACTTTCTTGACAGCAAAATTCTGCAGCACTCTGTTTTCAAAAATTTGATTTATTCACCCCTTAAAACCTCTTCCAAGCACTCAATTCACTCCAAAATCAATCTCTAACCATCATTCATCAACCATACACAATTTTCTTCAATTTAAATGCAATCAACCCCCGAAAAGAACCATTTTTTATGGGAATCAAACCACAAAAAATTGCATTTACTTCAATAAGCTCAAAATAATTGCCAAGACAAGTTTATAAGCATAAAAACAACTTAAATAGCTTGACTTCCCTGAATTTTCCCTTCCTTTTGTGCTCTTTTGTTCTTTGGCCACATTTCTTGCTTCTCCAAAGGCTTATACTTCCTCATATCTTCTTGTTAACCTATAAAAGAGACAAGATCACATAACTTCACCAAAACAACTAAACTACAAAAGAAAAATCAAAAGATAAGGTTTAGAGCTTGGGTTGCCTCCCAAGTAGCGCTTGTTTTATAGTCGTTCAGCCTGACTCTTCTCTTCTTCAAGAGGCATCAGATAAGGGCAAGGTGATTGCTTCACGGTCTACCTCACCACCCCAGTAATGCTTCACTCGTTGTCCATTGACTTTAAATCTTTTTCCTTCACTGCTCTCTAGCTCAATAGCACCATGAGGGAATGCTTGGACCACATTGAACGGTCCCGACCATCTAGATTTGAGTTTGCCAGGAAATAATCTCAATCTAGAGTTATACAAGAGTACTTTTTGGCCTGGCTCAAATGCTTTGCATAAAATTTTCTTGTCATGCCATCTCTTTGTCTTCTCCTTGTATTGCCTAGCATTTCATAGGCATTTAACCGAAATTCATCAAGTTCATTTAGTTGGAGAAGTCTCTTTTCACCCACGGCTTTAAAATCAAAGTTGAGCTTTTGGACAGCCCAATAAGCACCATGTTCTAGCTCTACGGGTAGATGACATGCTTTCCCAAAAACTAACCGGTATGGAGACATGCCGATAGGAGTTTTGTAAGCCGTTCGATAAGCCCACAATGCATCGTCAAGTTTGGTGGACCAATCTTTTCTTGCCACTCCTACCGTCTTCTCAAGTATCTTCTTGATTTCCCGATTAGAGATTCAGCTTGCCCGTTAGTTTGAGGATGGTAAGCAAGTGCAACCTTGTGCTTGACACCATATTTCTTCAAGAGAGATTGAAATTGGTTGTTGCAAAAATGAGTACCACCATCACTCACAATGGCTCTTGGTGCTCCAAAACGGGTGAAAATATGCTTCTTCAAGAACTTGAGCACCACTTTAGCATCATTAGTGGGAAATGCCGCCGCTTCGACCCATTTTGAGACATAGTCTACAGCCACAAGGATATATTGATTGTTGAAAGACATGGGAAATGGTCCCATGAAGTCTATGCCCCACACGTCAAACAGTTCTACTTCAAGCATGTTGTTGAGTGGCATTTCATTCCTTCTAGAGATATTACCCATCCTTTGGCACCTATCACACTTTAAAACAAAGTCATATGCATCCTTGAATAAAGAGGGCCAATAGAAACCACTTTGCAAGATTTTAGATGCTGTCTTGTCACCCCCGAAGTGGCCTCCATAGTCAGAAGAATGGCAACATCTTAGAATTTCTTGTTGCTCACACTCAGGAACACACTTTCTGATCATTTGATCAGCACATTGGCGAAACAGATAGGGTTCTTCCTAAAAATACAACTTAGCATCATGGAGAAACTTCTTCTTTTGATGAAACTTCAAATCAAAGGGCAAGATGCCACAAACAAGATAGTTGACAATGTCCGCATACCACGGTGTTTGAATATTGTCAACCTTAAAGAGTTGCTCATCAGGAAAAGCTTCATCAATAACAACATTACATTTAAGTTGAGCATCAGTACTCAACCTAGAAAGATGGTCCGCCACTTGATTCTCAGTACCCTTCCTATCAATAATCTCCAAGTCAAATTCTTGTAGAAGTAGTACCCATCGAATTAACCTTGCTTTAGACTCCTTCTTGCTGAATAGGTACTTCAAAGCTGAATGGTCAGTGTAAACTGTCACCTTAGTACCCACAAGATACGATCTAAACTTGGTAAAAGCAAACACCACTGCAAGAAGCTCTTTCTCAGTTGTGGTGTAGTTTTCTTGAGCATCATCAAGTGTTCTGCTAGCATAGTAAATTGGGTGAAGTACTTTTTCTTTCTTTTGGCCAAGCATAGCACCCACAGCAAAGTCACTAGCATCACACATCACAATGAAAGGCAAACTCCAATCAGGAGCCATCATGATAGGCGCAGACACAAGTCTTTTCTTCAACTCTTCAAATGCTTTCAAGCATGAATCATCAAATTTAAATTCAGCATCTTTCTCAAGAAGAGTGCAAAGAGGCTTGACTATTTTGGAGAAGTCTTTAATGAAGCGGTGATAAAATCCCGCATGACCAAGAAAACTCCTCACACCCTTAACATTAGTAGGTGGAGGAAGTTGCTCAATCACCGAAATTTTGGCTCTATCTACCTCCAAGCCATTTTTGGAGACTCTATGGCCAAGAACTATGCCCTCCTTAACCATGAAGTGGCATTTTTCCCAATTCAAGACCAAGTTGGTCTCTTCACATCTTTTCAACACATTGGCCAAGTTGATCAAACATTCCTCATATGAATCCCCAAAAACCGTGTGAAGTCATCCATGAAGACTTCCATAGTTTGCTCAATCATATCAGAGAAAATTGCCATCATACACCTCTGAAAAGTGGCCGGTGCATTGCATAACCCAAAAGGCATGCGCTTGAAAGCAAAAGTTCCATAAGGACAAGTAAATGTCATTTTTTCTTGATCCTCTGGAGCTATGGCAATTTGGTTATAGCCTGAATACCCATCAAGGAAGCAAAAGAATTCCCTTCCAGCTAATTTGTCAAGCATTTGGTCGATAAAGGGAAGAGGAAAGTGATCTTTCCTAGTGGCCGCATTTAGCTTCCGGTAATCCATGCATACTCTCCACCCAGTGACAGTGCGAGTAGGAATTAGCTCATTGTGGGTGTTAGCCACTACAGTCATGCCTCCTTTTTTTGGAACGCATTGAACTGGGCTCACCCAAGAGCTGTCAGAAATAGGATAGACAATGCCCGCCTCAAGCCATTTTAAGATCTCCTTTTTCACAACTTCCTTCATGATAGGATTCAACCTTCTTTGATGTTCCACAGAAGTTTTATGATTGTCTTCAAGGAAAATCTTATGCATGCAAATTGAAGGGCTAATACCCTTTATGTCGGCAATAGTCCACCCAATAGCTCTCTTGTGAGCTTTCAAGACTTCCACAAGTTGCTCTTCTTGTTGTTCATTCAAGTCCGCAGCAATAATCACTGGCAAAGTGTTGTTGGCTTCTAAATAGACATACCGAAGATGAGAAGGTAATGTCTTCAACTCAAGATATGGTGGCTCTTCAATAGAGGATTTCAAAGATGGTCTACCAAGAGAAGATAAGTCTAGAGATTCAAATTGGACACGGTTTTTAGGATAAACCGGTGATGCATTCATGATAGCCATACACTCTTCTCCATCTTGAGTCTTTAATTGAGCTCCTAGTAACAAGGCTTCTAAAAAATCATTAGGAATTGCCTTATTGAATTCTTCTTGTGCAACTTGATCAAGCATATCAACAAAGAAGCATTGCTCAAGATCTTTGGGAGATTTCATCAACTTGTGCATGTTAAAAGTGACTTGCTCATCATCCACCCTCATAGTAAGCTCACCTTTTTCAACATCAATCAAGGTTCTAGCAGTTGCCAAGAATGGTCTTCCTAAGATAATAGGAATATCACGATCCACCTCACAATCAAGGACAATGAAATCAACCGGAAAAATGAATTTATCCACTTTTACAAGAACATCTTCAATAACACCACGTGGATAAGCCAAGCTTCTATCCGCTAATTGCAAAGTCACGGTTGTTGGTCTAGCTTCACCCAACTCCAATTTATTGAAAATAGAGAGAGGCATAAGATTGATACTAGCTCCAAGATCACATAATGCCTTACCCAAAAATTTATTCCCAATATGACACGGAATTGAGAAGCTACCGGGATCCTTCAACTTTTGAGGTAGTTGCTTAATGATATCCGTACAACTCTTGTTAGAGCAACCGTCTCAAACTCATTGAACCTTCTCTTTTTAGAGAGCACATCTTTCATGAATTTAGCATATTTGGGCATTTGCTCCAAAGCTTCCACAAAAGGAATGTTGATATGCAATTGCTTGAACATATCAAGAAACTTTTTGAATTGGCCATCTTCTTGTTGCTTCCTAAGCCTTTGAGGAAAAGGTGGTGGGGCACATATTTTAGCTTGGCCTCTAGTTGCTTTTTCTCATCACCAACCTTTTTGGCTTGATCTTCATTCTTTTTCTCTTCTTGATTATTCTTCGAGTTGTCACACTCTTCAACCACAATTTCTTCATTAATCACTTCATTATCAACAATCACCTTAGTAGCACCACTACTCACACCACTTGCACTTGGCATAAGAACTTCGGGTAATTGCATCCCACTTCTCAAAGTGATGGCTTTACACTCCTCCTTACCATCCCTTTTAGGATTTGGAATGGTGTCACTAGGGAGATTACTTCTTGACATAGCATTCATTTGTGAAGCCAATTGCCCCATTTGCACTTCGAGGTTCTTGATTGCGGTATCATGAAGAGTAAGAGTTGCCTTAGTTTCAACTCTTGCAGACTCTTGATTACTCAAGATTTGTGCTAGCATCTTTTCCATTCTAGACTCCTCTTCTTTAACCGGCATTGGCTTTGGTGGAGCTTGAAAACCCGGAGGGTGAAGTGGCTTGACATTAGAGGATGAAGGTTGATTTGAAGAATTCCCTTGACTCCATGAAAAATTAGGATGATTCCTCCATCCTGAGTTGTATGTTTGAGAGTAAGGGTTGTTGTGAGGGTTTTGAAACTTGCCCATATAGTTGACAGACTCAGTGGTCATATAAAGAGGACATTGATCGGGCATGTGCATATCATTGCATTGATTGCACACAGTTGGAATGGCTTGGACAGCATGCACATTATGAGAATTTCCCCTTTGCATTTGAGATTCCAACACATCAAAACGCTTGTTCATTGCATTCAAGATGGATACAATCTGGGAAGAGGAATCATCTTTAGCACTAGTCACCATTGATGTATTCCTTCTATCCGTGTTTTGAGTGTTATTCGCAGACAATTGGTCTAAGAGGCGAAAAACTTCATTGACAGGCACATTTCGATATCCCCCATTTGTGATAGAATCAACCATGGCCTTCGAAGATGGATTCAGACGATTACAGAAAATCTGAATCACTACCCATTTGTCCACTCCATGATTAGGGCATTTCTTCATCAACATCTTGTATCTCTCCCAAGCTGCATAGAGATGTTCCTCTGGATATTGCTTAAAGCTAAGAAACTCATCTCTTGCTTCGACTGTTTTATCATCAGAGAAGAATCGGGCTCTAAACTTGTTCTCAAGATCCTCCCATGAACCAATAGAACCTTCGGGAAGATTGTTGAACCATTCTTTAGCCTTGTCTTGTAGAGAAATTGGAAATAACCGCAAGCGCAAGACATCTTTAGGCACCCCATTTTGTCTGAAAGAATCACATACTTCCACAAAAGACATCAAGTGCTTGTTAGCATCTTCATTGAATAGACCATGAAACACACCATTCATTTGAAGCATTGTGATCATGGCGGGCTTGATCTCAAAAGTATGTGCTTGAAACTCCGGCATTCGAATACAAGATTGAGTACCCCTCAGATTCCGGTTAGCAAAGTCATTGACTGAGGCGGTGTCATACTGGTCTTCTGCCATGTTTCCCGATTTAGGAGTTCTTTCAGAATTAGGAGACTCGGTTTCTTCAAAGATTGTCAATCCTTCAAGTATCACTTCCAATCCTTCTGGGCCTATGACTTGCATATGCCAAATGGGTACCTGAAGAAGAAACAACCCAAGAAGTATCAAACTAAAACAAAAGCACTGAACAAAGAAAAAAAAAATCTAGAACTAATATCTACAAAGCTCAAGCGAAATCTAATATTACTAGTCTAAGGTTGACCATAATATTTTCAAAAGCAAATCCCCGGCAACGGCGCCAAAAACTTGTTGCTCACCGCAAGTGCACGGGTCGTAGCAAGTAATATAATGAAAGTAAAGTATCGTTCCCTCGAGGATTTGTTCAAAAACAATGATCAAGCAAAAGACTAAGTAAATTTGATCAAGTTGAGCTACACAAAGTTAGGTGAAATGGTTTTTCAAATGAAACTAACACTAGAAAATAAAAAAAATGAGTGATTCACAAACTTCCAACACAATTTGAGACCTAGGATTAATTGTCCCCCTTGCATTTCATAACACCAAAATTACCTCCTCTCATAAATGCTTTTAATGAAAATAAGTGCTAACCTAGGGTTCTAAAAATACTTGGACAAGCTCTCTCAAGTCATGAACAAGTGTTTAGTTAAATTAATTGCCCAATCTCTTGTTACAATTAATAAAACTCAATTTTAAACACCAACCCTAATGTGGCTATGCAAGGCTAGCAAGTATATCTCTATCTTACTAGCAAAACCATCCATTCAACATGCAAATATCAAGTTCTTACACAATTTTACCCAAGTTCTACACTCAACCTAGCCCTCTCAAGCATCAATTAAGTGAACCCAACATCTAAATGGTGGCCAATCAAGTAGAAGCATTAAGGAAAGAGTAAAATAAACACATTTATATCATTAATCACAAAAAGAGAGGAGAAATATGGTGTTAATCCATACAAGGGTTCCAAATAATCCTAGAACAAAGGGTTTAGCTACTCATAATCATCCACAAGCTACAAATATACAAAATAAGTGGACCCATTTCAGATTATAAGAGAGGAAAGGGAAGAGGAATAGAAAAACCAAAGAAAATGAGCTCCAAATGTCTTCAAAGCTTCAATCTCTTGATCCCAACTCTTCCAATGCCCAAACCCTAGCACAACCAAGCTCCAAAAGTGTCAAAAAGTCTGAAGAATGCGTTCTGGGTCGAGCTCTCAGCTTATATGTATCCTAACCAACTAATTTCTGATAAATGAAACGCAGCATTTTTCTGACAGCGGTGAAAGTCGCGAACGAAAGTCACGACTTTGGGATGACTTTGACAGTTTTGCACTGTTTTTATAGCTAACGAAAATCATTCAATTAGCTCTTGATTTCTTCATCCAAACGCCTTCCAAAAACATCCACAAAGCTCCAGAAATGCTTCTAATCAAAATAACATGAAATTAGGCGAAAAATATCAAATTAAAGCCAAAAACACAAGCCCAAAACAAAATGCACATTTTCCTAATTTGGGCAATAAAAACATATACAATTGAACCAAAATAATTAGAATCTAAGGAAAATGTGATGAAATAACATGAACTTCTAGAGGTTAACAACATGGGATTAATTGTACACACATTGGAATCATCTACAAGCCAATAGGAGGGTGCCACCTTACAAGTGTAACAAGGCTTCCATTTTCCATTCATTTTCTTTTCTTATTTTTAATTGAGCTTTCTGATGGAGAAACACTTAGAGCATATCCCACACCCCCAAAATCAGATCCAACACTCATATCATTCATCTTCCACATTTTCTCTCTCTTGTTCATAGTGTTCTTCATTTTCTCTCTTTTGTTCTTCATTTTCTAGCACCCTAACCTCCATTTTCAGCCACTAAACCTCCACAAAACTCATACCATTCTTCTCCTCTCTTTATTTTCATTCCATCCCTTCCTATTTCACAAGTTTCTAAGCTCATTTTCTTTATCCCAAGTTCCATGAATTTCCGTCAATAAGCTTCCAACTTAGGGTTCTTGAAGATGATGAAGATTGGCTATTTTCTTTGGTGGAATCCTAAAGAGATAAAGATGGAGGATGAATCTTGAGCTTCAAATTGGCTAAGTTCTTTTGTTTCCTATCCTCTTCTCTTTTTACTAGATGGTTAGATTCCTTAATCTAGGGTTTAATCATCTTAGTTTGTAAATTCTAATTTGAATTTGATGTTGATGTAAAGAGAGAAAATTGTTTCATTTAATTTCTTCCTTGGATAGCCATGATTGAATTTTGCCACTCTTTGTTTGGCACATAATCTTGTGTTTTTTAATTAGTGAATTACTTGTGTTAATATTACATAATCTTGTGGTGTTAATGCTTGTGTTGTTGAGTAGCTTGACATAATATTGTGATTGCCCAATTTATATGTTTGACCATGGTTGTTGTGAGAGGATTTTGAGTGAATCACTTGGCTAATTTCTTCACCAATTGGTTAATTGAATTAAGGACTTTAATCTAAGACCTAAGAAGGTTAGCTAATTAGGTTAATTGGTTTAGGTTAATTTTCTTAAGTCATGACAACTTTAGTCAAGAGGAAAGGGAAGCTAAACTTAGCCTAATCATGAGAAGATAATGAGTCAAAAATCAACTAATCTCTAAGGTTCCACTCTTGTGAAAAGGGAAGTGCATTTCACTCACTTTATTTAGCATTTTAATCATTAGGTAATTAGTTTAGATAATTAGATAACTAAATTCTTACAACTTTGGGTGATTTATTCCATAGATAACTTTTAATTAGATAAGACCATTCCTTAGAAGATGACCTAAGTTTGACCTTATATTACATTAGGGTTACCTTTAGTTTAAGTTTGAAGATAAGCAACTAATTTTCTATCACCATGCATTAGAAATAGTTGTGTTCACACTGAACTGTGTTCTATCTAAGGCAATTGAAAAGACACTATATGAGATATGGAGTGGGAAGAAACCTAGTTTGTTTTTCCTCAAGATTTGAAGAAGTGAAGTTTATGTCAAGAAACAAGCCTCAGACAAGTTAGCACTTAAATCCATAAAGTGCCTTTTTGTGGGGTATCCTAAAGAAACAAAGGGATACTATATTTACAATCCCACCAATAACAAAGTGTTTGTAATTCAAAATGGTATCTTTCTAAAAAGAGAATTTATCTCTAAAAAAACTATTGAGAATAAGATACATATTGAAGAAATTCGAGAACCACAAAATAGCACAGAATTACAGATAAAAAACTGAGAAGACTCACAAAAAGTAAATGAGCCTACTCAAATAACACAAGGCCTATGAAGGTTTGATAGGATACAGCATCATCCTCAGAGATACAGATTTCTGATTAATGAATATCATGATGTGTTTCTCATTGAACAAAATAAACCAACCACCTACTAAGAAGCCATAGTGGGACCAAATTTCGAGAAATGGCTAAATTCCATGAAGTTTGAAATGCAATTCATGTATGATAATAAGGTATAGACCTTAATCGATCCACTTGAAGGAATAAAAACTATCAGGTGCAAGTAGGTTTTTAAGGAGAAAACTAACATAGATGACAAAGTAAATGTCTTCAAGGCACAATTAGTTGCAAAAGGATTCACCCAAACTTATAGTGTAGACTATGATAAAACCTTTTCACTAGTCAGAATGGCCAAAATAATTAGAATTCTCCTTGCCATTGTAGCATATTATGGCTATGAAATATGGCAGATGGATGTTAAAACAATATTCCTTAATGGATGTTTACTTGAGGAAGTGTACATAACACAACCTAAAGGTTTTGTGCATCGAGAGAACTCTGGAAAGGTGTGCAAGCTTCAAAGATTCATTTATGAATTGAAGCAAGCATCTTAGAACTAGAATCAACATTTTGATGAAGTAATCAAAGAGTTTAGATTCATTCAAAACATTAATGAACCTTGTGTTTATAAAAGGATCAATGGCAGCACAATTATATTTCTAATGCTATATGTAGATGATATCCTACTCATTAGGAATGACATTCCTACCTTGCAGAATGTCAAGTCTTGGTTAGGAAAATCTTTCTCTATGAAGGACTTAGGTGAAGCCACTTACATCCTTAGGATTGAGATCTATAGAGATAGATCCAAAAAAGCTGATGGGCCTAAGTTAGAGCACATACATGGACAAGATACTACATAGGTTTAGTATGCAGAATTCAAAGAGGGGTTTCATCCCTATGTCTCATGGCATTCATCTCAGTAAAGACCAGTGTCCTAGTACACAAAATCAGCAAGATTGCATGAGTAAGGTTTCATATGCCTTGGCAATTGGATCTATCATGTATGCCATGCTGTGCACTCAATCAGATGTTTTATTTGCCTTAAGTATGACCAGCAAATACAAAGCAAACCTAAGAGAGGATTATTGGACTGCTGTTAAGAATATCCCAAAGTATGCCATATTGTGCACTCAACTGGATGTTTCATTTACCTTAAGTATGACCAGTAGATACGAAGCAAATCTAGGAGAGGATTATTAGACTGCTATCAAGAATATTTTAAAGTACTAAGAAGGATTAAGGATTTACTCTTGGTATATGGCGAATTGGATGATAAGCTAATTATAACAGGTTACATAGATGTAAGCTTCCAAACTGAGTAGGATGACCTTAAATTACAATCAAGATATGTGTTCACCTTAAATGGTAGGGCAGTGAGTTGGAAGAGCTCAAAAACAGAGCACAATAGTTGATTCTGCAACAGAAGCTAAGTATATAGCAGCATCAGAAGTAGCTAAGGAAGCCATTTGGATCAGGAAGTTTATTGTTGAACTAGGAGTGGTGCCTAGCATCTTAGATCCAATAAACTCATTCTGTGACAATAACAGCATAATTGCACAGAGCAAGGAGCCAAGGTCACACCAAAAGACTAAGATATATTTAGGCGTTTCCACCTTATCAGAGAGATCAATGATAGAGGTGATATAAAAATATGCCAAGTAGCAGGAGAAGATAATGTTACTGATCCTCTTACAAAGCCTCTTGCACAGGCAAAGTATGAGCGTTATGTCAAGACAATGGGAATTAGACAAATTAATGATTGTACCTAGTGCAAGTGGAAAGATGTTGGAAATTATGCCCTAGAGCCA